CACAACTAACTAAATTTTTGTATTGCCTAAAACGATGTGGGGACTTATGCATCATAATCAATCAAAAAGTTAATTTTGGATTTTAGTTAGTTGCGGCTTTTTGTATTTCAGCTACGATGTGCGTTAAGCCCTTTCCATACTATAATAACGGNACCATAAGCTATCAAATCTGTTTTGTTGTTCCATTCCATGCGCTCAATGTGTTTTGATATATTTTTTGAGGCGAATGAACGCAAATTTCTCACATATATATCGCTAATACTATTTTAAGAGGGCTTATTTCACATTGTCGCTGAAGTGCAAAAACCACAACTAACTAAACTTTTGTATTGCCTAAAACGATGTGGGGACTTATGCATCATAATCAATCAAAAAGTTAATTTTGGATTTTTAGCTAGTTGCGGCTTTTTGTATTTCAGCTACGATGTGAGTTAAGCCCTTTCCATACTATAATAACGATATATTACATGCCAAGTCCCCCTCCTCAATAGATATAAAATTCACCTTGAATTAATTCTTATTTAATATGTGAACTTGGTTGTCGACTTAGTTACATATCATTTCATCTTTATTCCGATGCGTGCTAATTTTGACAATTTACACAAAATTAAAATAAATGTTTTTGTTTTCGCGCTAAAAGACTAATAAAAAGAAACACGGAACTTAAGAATAATAAGTTTTATAAAAAAAAAAATAATTATACTTTTCTAAGAAAAAGTACAAAAAAACCAGCGATGCATCGAATTTTTCAACAANATTAAAATAAATGTTTTTGTTTTCGCGCTAAAAGACTAATAAAAAGAAACACGGAACTTAAGAATAATAAGTTTTATAAAAAAAAAAATAATTATACTTTTCTAAGAAAAAGTACAAAAAAACCAGCGATGCATCGAATTTTTCAACAAACCTTTGACAAATAATATTCGATAGTTACATAATTCTTACCTAATTAAAGGTAATCTTTTAAATATACCTACTATTATCTTACTCTTTGACTTTAAATTACGAAAGAAGGTCGACGTAGGGGACAGTCTTAACGTAGCATCTCCACAGGCAAAAAAATGTTGGCTAAAATTTTTTGTTTGCCAGATATACGTTTTATCGGCGCACCTGCACAATATTCGCATTCGCAAAAGCTCCGCATTGATTATTGCGAATGCGAAAGCGAATGTGAATGTTAAAATTTATGCGAAAGTTCCGCGGTTGCGAATGCGAATGCGAATATTCGCAACAACCTTGATGGAAACAGCTGTTTTCTTTTACTGAAGCGAATTAAACTAGACAAGAAGTGTTTGTGCACTTTTTCAAACCGCATTCATGTTTTCACAACGCTTTGAAATGTCGGTTCGAGTGAATACGATAAATTTTTCGAAGACGCATTAAAACTCTGTTTATAAATGTGGTTTCAAATTAAACGCATGCGTTGAAACCGTTTTCAAGCAACGTATAATGGGGTAAGAAATCGCCTCTACATAGAACGTGAAGTGAATAGTTCTACGCCACCGAATACATTTATTTATGAGCATGAGGACACGGCGAGACAGTTCCAAGACGTCCTTAAACAAGCTTTTGAAGAAGTCTCAAGGGGGTGTCCCTTGGTGGAACGATTCTCTCNAATTTTTCGAAGACGCATTAAAACTCTGTTTATAAATGTGGTTTCAAATTAAACGCATGCGTTGAAACCGTTTTCAAGCAACGTATAATGGGGTAAGAAATCGCCTCTACATAGAACGTGAAGTGAATAGTTCTACGCCACCGAATACATTTGTTTATGAGCATGAGGACACGGCGAGATAGTTCCAAGACGTCCTTAAACAAGCTTTTGAAGAAGTCTCAAGGGGGTGTCCCTTGGTGGAACGATTCTCTCGGGAAAATTAGGAAAAAAGCCAGGAAACTCTTAAATAGGGCAACTTCGACAGGCGACTGGACCGCCGACAAGTCAGCCCTAACCGCTAGTAAAAAGATAAGAGAAACTTATTGACTTTCACATAAGGGATAACTTTCTCAAGAATAAGCCTCTATGTGAGAGTCAACGGATTCAAGGCTTACGGATAGTCATCTACGTTGTTGGCGGGCATAAAGACACTTTTTGCTTCAGAGTGCAACCTGTGCTCAGATTAACGGAAGACTGGTGTGCTGCAAAGGGATTGTCAATACATACACTGAAGTCCACCGTTGTCCCATTTGCCAAAAGAAGGAAAATTAACTTGACTAGACCCATCTTGGCAGAGACAGAAGTTGAGTACTCAGAAGAGGCGAAGCACCTTTCCAACGGATGCCCTAGGCGTGGTTACAGGCATTACTTCGCTGTCTATTCCGATTGAAAAGGAGGCCTGCGGGAGGCATACGGCTACCCAATGTAATCAGCATGAAAAGTGGGGATCTTTGGGGTCACTTGGAGGCCATTTCTGGATGATCCCGCTATCATGTTCACAGATGCTACCGAAGTTATCCTTTGAAGCAATAATATCTATTATAGGAAAAAGGGTCCCAAGTATGGTATACCGATGGACCGAAGGTGGACGAGGGGAGTACTGGGACAGGCATGCTTGAACCAAGATGCCAAAAAAGTCTGTCAAGGGTGTCATACCCAACCACATTCCAGGTGGAAGTCTTCACAATCGAAGTCTGTGTTCGAGAATATCTTCGGAGAATGACTAACGGGGCCAGAATAAATATTATGTCGAATAGTCAGGCAGCACTAAAGACCTTATCGTTGAAACACAATCCCGACGAACCGCGAATTTTTGCCCAGTAGAGCGACGACGACAGCAACAGAACAATTAAAACTTTTACAAACAACAAGATTATAAGTTTTTAACAAAAACTAATACAGTATTTTTCAATTTCGATTCAAAAACCTGAGAATATTTAACATATTGCCACAAAGGATCGTATTTTGCCGCTACCGCCAGCGACGACAATAGAAATAAGTGTGTTTAAATTTTTACAGCGAACATTCGCGGCGAAAAATTCGCCGTTCGCCGGCTTTGTGTTTCAGCGGTTAGACTCACTTAGAAGGACATCAAGGCGTCTGGAAAGCCTAGGAGCCCGTAATAGAGTAACGCTGTGGCGGATCATTGGCATGAAGGGATTGAAAGCAACGAAAGGGCTGGCTGTCTTGCAAAACTGGGAATCCAAATGCGCATGCATGGTCCCGTGCGTTTCTGCGGCACATCTAACNGGATAGTCATCTACGTTGTTGGCGGGCATAAAGACACTTTTTGCTTCAGACTGCAACCTGTGCTCAGATTAACGGAAGACTGGTGTGATGTAAAGGGATTGTCAATACATACACTGAAGTCCACCGTTGTCCCATTTGCCAAAAGAAGAAAAATCAACTTGACTAGACCCATCTTGGCAGAGACAGAAGTTGAGTACTCAGAAGAGGCGAAGCACCTTTCCAACGGATGCCCTAGGCGTAATTACAGGCATTCCTTTGCTGTCTATTCCGATTGAAGAGGAGGACTGCGGGAGTATCCTATGGCTACCCAATGTAATCAGCATTACAAGTGAGGATCTTTGGGGTCACTTGGAGGCCATTTCTGGATGATCCCGCTATCATGTTCACAGATGCTACCGAATTTATCCTTTGAAGCAATAATATCTATTATAGAATAAAGGGTCCCAAGTATGGTATACCGATGGACCGAAGGTGGACGAGGGGAGTACTGGGACAGGCATGCTTGAACCAAGAAAAGTCGCCTCTCGCCGGCTTTGTGTTTCAGCGGTTAGACTCACTTAGAAGGACATCAAGGCGTCTGGACAGCCTAGGAACCCATAATAGAGTAACGCTGTGGCGGATCCCTGGGCATGAAGGGATTAAAAGCAACGAAAGGGCTGGCGGTCTTGCAAAACTGGGAATCCAAATGCGCATGCATGGTCCCGTGCGTTTCTGCGGCACATCTAAAGGGTACACTGCAAAACTGCTTAGGATTTGGGAAGAGTCTCAAAAGGAACGAGACAATCAAAGAAATTCATAACTCCTTCAAGGAGGAACTTAGAAAGACTCCTTAAAGTTAGCCAGGAGTTTCTTAGGACTCTTGCTGGCTATCTGACATGACACTGCTAGTTAAGGTATAATTCAAAGAAAATGGGGCTTTCTCTAGGACCGACTGCAGGTTTTGTTGGCTTGTGGAGGGGAGACCTCAGAGCGCATTCTTTGTGACTGCCCATGGGCCAAATGCCTCTCGCATTTTCTCACTCATATGCTACTTTTTTCAAATTTGCGTTTTTTTTTATTTATTTTTCCATCACTTACCGTACGCCATTCTGCAACTTTCGATTATCGCCAACTTCCCAACCACCATTTGGCCGTTGCATTGCCACCGGCGCTGGTGTCGCATAATGCCATTGCCGATAGTATGAATCATAAGCAGAGTTTTGTGCAGCACGACCTTCGCTTGCACTTTGTTGCTCGCTTGGAACATATTCATTATCGCCTGCAGCACTCTCATCTTCATCACCATCATCATAGTAACGCTGCTGTTCATAAGGACGTCGATCCACACCCACTTCACCGCCGCCGTCATCTGAAGCGCCCTCTAGCTCGTCCGCTTCATACTCCGCTGCCGGCCGCTCATAGTAGGGATCCTGAAAGTTGGTTGGTGGTGCACCAAAGTTGTCCTGTCGACGCCCGAGTGTTGGTAGACTTTCAGCGTGTACGACAACTGGTCGCTGCTCTTCATAGTAGCCACGATTAATGGTTGTGTGATTATTATCGGTTTGTTTATCTTCATTTGTGCCCACCTCACGTTTGTTTTGGTGTTGGTGTTGCTGTTGCTGTCTTATTGTTGTTGTCAGCAGCTTTCCTGTATCATTTGTTTGCGGAAATTTTTTCACTGCACCAAGGCCACCGTACTGTGATCCTCCTTCATTCACAATTATTTCCACTACTTCGGCATCTACTTCATTTTCAGCTTCGTCAGCGAAGCGTAAAGCACTCGCTTTGTCGTCCTGCATTTGAGTGAAGGCAAAGGCGGTAATTGAGAATACAAAAACTAAAGCGAAGCTACAGAGTAAGCATCCGACGGTGGGCTTCAACGTTTTGTTGTTTTTGAGTGTGTCACAAGGCATTTTGAGTTTTTTTTTCTGAATTTTTTCACAATTTTCCTTTTACAAAATTTGGAAGTGGTGTGTTTTTCCCCCTTTTCTCGGTTAACGAAAAGTCCGCTTGCAAAAAAAAAGAAGTAATTTACACACACAGAAAATCACTCATTTTTAATTGCACCACTGTACCGTTGCTTCCTTTTACCGATCAGTCTGAATGTCAAATTTTAACTGTCCTAAAGTGCAACAGCAAGCGTTCTTGGCACCGTCCTGTTAACCGACACACACACACACACACACACACAAACAAACAAAACTCCGAAGCAATACAAACTATGTAGATCTTTGAGTAGAAATTTATGCTAAAAAGGAACCACCGATAAATACGTACATATTTATGCACATAAGAAAATTCAGCCCATCGACTTATTGAAATTTCAGAGCAGCTACTTTTTATCTAGAACAATCATCACATGGCCGCCATGGCCTAACAATTATCATTTACTTGTTCATTTGTAGTCTGGTAAACCGAGCATTGGCTATAAGACGCTAATTGCTACAGCTCGTGCTAACAACAACAAAATAACAGTAGTGATCAACACCTTCAAATGTTTACTACCTTTTGCTGTCAACTGTGCTACTGCTCCAATTTTAAGTATATACTACATATTGAAGTATATACATAAGTATGGACATTAGACCGAAACAGCTTACAAGGAAAAAAAGTTCGCTGTACTTTGAAGTATTTTTGCAAGGTTTTTTTTTTGAATAGTTCTGCTGGAATAATCAAAATATTTCCTTAATGAAGAAAAATATCGAATTTTCTTTCAAATCGAAATACTTCCTTAGTCAATTCTTAATAATTTTTGGCAAAAATGATAAATGACAAAGTCGGCCATTAAAAAAAAATCGTGTCATTACATTAAAAAAATAGTCATAAAGTTCATTTCCACATGGCATTTTTTTAAATGGCATACATTTTTTGTCATTTCAATGCCTAGTGGAAATTCGGCATTAGTTTGCTAACATTAGGGTTGGCGTCTTAGGGTGATAAGAACTAAGATCTTTTGGGTAAGTACTAAAACTCATACTATGAGAAGCTACAGTAAAATGATAATGATATGGTGAAAAATGTAAAATGGCGACCCCGAGGTTCGGCCAAAAGAATTTTTTTTTCGAAATTGCCTTCAAATATACTACTTTAGGATAGGAACAGAAAATAATCATAATTTTTTTAAATTTTGACCAAAAAAATCAACAAGTTGTAAACGTCGTAAAACATTTTTAACTATACCCACGTATTTGTGCTTGCACGTCCTACTGTAAAATAAAAATTAATACTTGAATTTTATTTTTTTTTGCTCAAAAGGAATTTTATTACCTGATTTTTTTCGATCAAAAATAATGATTATTTTACAATTTTTATATTTTTGCTCAAAGATAATAGCACAACTAAAATTCTTACTGGAATGCAGAAAATACGATAATAATTTTTGTTGAGTCTTATTTTTTCACTTAAGAATAATGATCTTTAAAAAAAACTCAAAAGCAATACCAGCGTCATTTCCAACATAACCTTTTCAGATGTAGCGGCCCCCTAATAAAAGGATCAAGTCCCAAAATTTTCAGGTCAAAATTTCAGTAGGTTGCGTCTGTATGGCCTTTTCAGTTTTATAAATAATCATTTTTAATTTGAAAAATAAAACTCAATAGTTATTATTATCTCTGAGAGAAAAAATAAAAATCATAAAATAACACGGTGCAACCAAATTGTATCATATTTTATCTCGAAAACGGGACCGACATCATCTTATAGATTTTTTTATGCTGATTTGAAGTTACAAAATGTTTTTTTGTCAAAATATGACAAAAGTGACAAATTTCAAAAAAAAAGAAAAATTTAAATAGAATTTGGACGTAAACACGTATTTATGGAAATCTAATTCGTCTGATGGACTCTACCTCTACCCGTTTTTTAGATAAAATACGACCAAATTTTGTTGAACCGTGTAATCAGTATTTGTGATCGAAAAAAAATAAAAATCATATAATAATAATTTCCGTTGAGCGAAAAAATTAATCTCAGTAATTATTATTTTTATGTGAAAAAATTAAAATCATAATATAATAATTAAATGCTGATTTAAATTATTTTACTAATAATTATTTAACGTACCTGCTTTAGACTTAGAGGTGTACGGCCGAATTTGGTTTTTCTTTGCTTGTAAGATGGTACGACCTAATTTACATATGTACGTATATGTATCCAGAGACTCACTTTGTATTTGCATTCGTGTTCAGCTCGTCACCGCTTAACGGTTCTTTCAAATAGCACTTGGCGCAACGTCATCGATTAGCATCCACTTATCACTTATCAGTGCTTAATATTTACTACTTGCTGTGCGTAATATCCTCTCTACTGCGTGGCTGAAAGTGTTCACTACTTGTTTGTTTGCTTATTTTTTTTTTTTATTACATATTATAATTTTTTAATACTCCACTGCTTTTCTGCTCATTCACCATCTTTCTGTGGCATTTTTATCATTGGCTACACACACATAGAACTTATGTATTTCTGGCAAGTGCCAGCAACACTTCTGACCCAAATTCTTTTCGTTAACTGATTTTCAAGCTAATACTTTCTCAAATTCTATTTATTTTTCTCTTCTTATCATTGACGCATGAAAAGCTAATAAAATTGCAATTCTCACTACATTCAAACTATTTATTTTTACATTGAAATGGTGAAAGTTTCACAGCACAAAACTGTTAGTGCTCATTATAAATTACTATATTATCCGGTTTAAGCTAGTTCTAAAAATAAAAGTGCTTATTAATCTATGCGTTTTGTGGTGGGAAGAAGATATAAAAATAGAGCTTTTTTAACATTTTACGAAAACTTACAACAAAGGATTAACTTGGCGCTAAATTCATTTCAGTTTGTGAAGTACAATCAGCAGTCAAGGCTGTATGCAATAAAGCACGTCTATAGTGACCGTCAATCAAGTAAATCAAAATCTTCTAGTCGGCATCTGAAATTTTCAAATGCCTCATGTAATATGATTTTTTGGCCGGCCAACATTTTGTCATAACTCCAAGATAGAGAGACAGGAGGAAATATGCTTGAAAGCGGAGACCTTTATTAATAATTTATAAATTTAATTAAAAGTACCAGGTTTACCAAGCTCCGTCCGTAGTGCATATACTTTTTAGAGTTTTCAAGATTTGGATAGCTTTAAAAAAATATTTTGGAAATAAAAAAAAATGGATTTCGATATCTATTAAATAAATTTCTTACTCCAAAATTTAGGTGGCAACCCTATTCCGATATACGCTGGAATGAATGGTACATATCTTGAGCGTATATATACTGTGTATACATAAAAAAATGCTGATTGAAATTAACAAAGTAAAAATTTGTATTACATAGAAGCGAAGCAACCCTGATGGAAAATATTTTCCGAGCAAAGTGCTCAACAATACCTTCCATTTGATATCCATATTTCGATGTTTTAGATAAATTGTGTAGAATCGAAAATAAGTGACAACCCTACACTATTACCCTAAGGGATAATATTTTGTATATAGGGAAAACATTCTTTAAAGACTTAGACTTGACTTGACTTACCTAGAAACTTAAAACCGATTACTCTCCGTGTCGTCTACTGGGTTTTTTTGTTTTCTTGGTCCTCAGTTTTTGTACTTGTACACACAAAATCTTAAACGTTCAAATTGTTTGGGGTAAAATTGAAAAAAATCTACAATTGAAATACATAAATGTATTCAAGCGAATCAAATTGTGATTGTTTTTATTTTATTTTCTGTCCTTATTTGAAAGTTTGTTTTTCGATTGCCAGATGAATTTCGTTTATACAAAAAATCACATTTGTGTGGCATATATGGCGGAATTTTATTAAAAATATGCGAAAAAGTTATGTGGCAGCTTGATTCTCTCACGGCTCTCTTTGCACTTAGAAATGTAATTTAGAAATCAAAAATCTATAGTTCCTCAAGTTTCTAAGTAAAGTTTTTTTTTTGGGCAACTACATACACGCGCTGCTCATTTGCCAGTTATACAATTTTCAAGTCATGTCAAGTCTAAGTCTTGCATAACTGAGGTTTAAGTCGTATACTTTTTCCAACCTTGTAATTGTCAACAGTGACGTGTGTACCAAGATGCGTATGCTCTGACTGTTTGTGTGATGACAGGAGATACTTCGTTTGGTCCTCGTTCACCACCAGACCCTTTCGCTTTTCCTTCTCTATTTAATCCCGAGAAGGCAGAACAGAGGTGGCAGCTGTTTTTACCGCTAATATCGATGTCGCCGGAGTACGCCAACAATTGCTCGCTCTTGTAAAGTATTGTGCCTGAGCGGTTCAATTCTGCGACTCTTATTATCCTCTCCAACATCAGATTAGAAGAAGTCACATGAAAGGGAGTCACATTGTCTGAAGCCTCGTTTGGTGTTAACGTGGTGTATTCTGACGGAGCTAGTGATATTGCTCAACGTCATTTTACACAGCCGTGTTAGTTTCGCGGGCATGCCAAATTCAGACATCACGGCTGTCGAAAGCGGCTCTGAAATCCACAAATAGATGGTGTGTGTCGATCCTATTCTCGCGCGTCTTTTCCAAGATTTGGCGTATTGTGAATACCTGGTCTATGGTGGATTTGCCAGGTCGAAAGCCACACTGATAAGGTCCAATCAGTTCGTTGATGGTGGGCTTCAGTCTTTCACACAATACGCTCCGTAAGACCTTGTACTCTATGCTTAGAAGGCTGATCCCGAGGTAGTTGGCGCGTATGGCGGGGTTACCTTTCCTGGGGATCGGGCAGAGCAGCAGCTGTGTTGTTTTAGAGCCTCGTAATGGCTATTCGTACGTTATAGTCATAAATAGTCAGCCGATGGAACGTCGACTCCGCCATCATCGCCTGTGCAGGCGCGGGCTCGTCTATATTTTACAACTTAATGTTAATATTGCAGGTCAACAGGCAATCTATTTATGATAGTCCTCAAGTTTTTAGG